CAGATGGAAACACACTCTCTCTTGCTGCTTCAGATAAATAATATTTTCAAATAAACAATCTTTCAGACAAGTAATCAAATACACAGCAGCTAGGTCATCATGCAAAGTCATTGTGAAAATCAATAGGTTAATCCATGTAAACGGTGCAGCACAGGCCAGGCATACAGTAGGTCCTGAAGGCGTGTTAGCTATGCTTACTGAGGAACTACTCTATATCTGGCACAAGGCCATGTGTTGCAAAAACTACAGATGAATCAATGAGTTTTTGTATCTGGTGTAGGCTTAGCCAACTTTTTCTGAACAGGATCAGAGGGTAAGTATTTTCAGCATTACCAGCAATCTGGTCTGTCTCAGCTACTCAGAAGAGCAATTCTTTTTTTTTAATTGAATTACACAAAATATTCCAAGGTGTGGATATAGTACATTTAAAAACGTTTTCCGTACTTTTTTTTTTTTAATTTTGGGTAAGACAATTAGTTCCGTATTATTTCCTTAATATGTCTGATGTAACAGGAGATTTTAAGGGAGAAGTCCCACCCAGTCTCTCACCCACCCCAGGTCCCAGGTGTGGGGCATGCTCCGAGGGTCTTGCTCAAGTGGTTTTGATAGTTCAACAGTTCTGAATTGCTGCCACTCTCACCACTCCAAGCATGATGCGTTTGTTGGAGATTCCACTGATTGACATAGTCCATCATAACGTCTCCGTTTGCCCAGTATTTTCATTGCCAACATACAGCTGAGATGGTTGATTGACTTGTTCTGTCCTCTGTCTTTTAATGGTTAGCGTTCTGAGTCCAAAAGCTCGATTGGGGGGATACCCCAAGAAACTGTCTGAGGTGTTCCCAGACCAGATTCTTTTATGTGCTAGCAAGCACAGGGCCCAGTTCAGTCCATCGCCCTGATCAGCTGGTGGTTAGAAGAGCAATTCTAAACAATAAATGGGTGACTTCCACTTATGAGCACTGATCACTGAGTTTTTTTTTTTTAAAGATCTATTTATCTTTATTGGAAAGGCAGATACATAGAGAGCAGGAGAGACAAAGATCTTCTGTTCCATGGTTCACTCCCAAAGTGACCATGATGGCTGGAGCTGAGCCAATCCGAAGCCAGGAGCCAGGAGCTCTCAAGTGTGTGCCTGTGGCCTGGGAAAGTACTCGAGGATGGCCCAAGGTTTTGGGACCCTGCACCCGTGTGGGAGACCTGGAAGAGGCTCCGGGCTCCTGGCTAATCTCCAGCTGTCGCGGCCACTTGGGGAGTGAACCATCGGATGGAAGATCTTCCTCTCTTTTTCTCCTCCTCTCTTTCCAGTAAATAAATAAATAAATAAATAAATAAATGTAAAACCTGGCCTAATCGGGCAAGGTGCACTAAAGCAGGGGATAAAGCAGAAGCAGTCAGCAGGCCATGGCTCATTAGTTCCTGGTGTAGAAGAGGAAAAGAATTTCCCCTAGATGTCTCTGGGCTGTGCAGGGACAATGTCTTACTTTATGGTGAACAAACAGGCTCAACCTTCACGATCCAGTGGAAACACCACCTCCTTTTTGAAGCCTTCCCAGATCACCTTAGTCAAGGGCAGGGATAACCCCCATCTGGTGCCTCCTAGGTGATAAGCATGAGTCTGTTCATTGCTGTTAAAAACTTACCATCAGGGGCCCGGCACAATAGCCTAGTGGCTAAAGTCCTCACCTTGCACGCACTGGGATCCCATATGGCCATGAGTTCTAATCCTGCGGCCCTGTTTCCTGTCCAGCTCCCTGCCTGTGGCCTGGGAAAGCAGTCAAGGATAGCCCAAAGCCTTGGGACCCTGCACCCCCGTGGGAGACCTTGAAGAGACTCCTGGCTTTGGATCAGCTAAGTGCCGGTTGTTGCGGTCACTTAGGGAGTGAACCATGGGACAGAAGATCTCCCTCTCTGTCTCTCCTCATATATATATATATATATTTGACTTTGCAGTAACAATAAGTAAATCTTTAAACAAAACCAAACCATCAGGAACTGGCACAGTGGCTCAACAAGCTAATCTTCCACCTGCAGCCCCGGCATCCCGCATGGGTGCCAGTTTATGTCTCCATATGGCTACTCCATTTCCAATTCAGCTCCCTGCTTGTGGACTAGAAAGGCAACCAGCGATGGCTCAAGTCCTTAGCATCCATGTGAGAGACCCGGAAGAAGCTCCTGGTTTCTGACTTTGGGTCGACTCAGCTCAGGCTGTTGTGATCATCTAGGGAGTGAAACAATGGGTGGTAGACCGCTTTGTAATCTCTGCCTTTGGAATAAATATATAAATAAATCTTTTTTTTTTTAAGCCACACACACACACACACACACAAAGACCCTCACCATGAAATATCTTTGAAGACAAACTAAAAATTATAACTAGCTTAGTCTCGACCATCTAGTGTTTGAAATAAAGCACTGCCCTACAGCTGGACATTCCTCTCCTCAGCACACAATCCACCCCCTACCAGGGCAGCAACACTCCCTTCCTCTGGGAACTTCCTTGGGTTTACCACGTGTGCCTATATCCTGATTCAGGCGATGGGACTGGCTAGCTTGCGATCCACTCATCCTTTAATCCAGTCCTCCTAAGAGCCAATGCAGAAACACAGCTGGTGGGAAGCTTGTCTCACAGAGGGTGCTGGAATTTGCCCAAGGTCAGTCTGAGCCCAAGGATGAGTCCCAAGTCCATGTCGTTGAGCCTCCATGGGAAGAGACCGGAGGAGACTTTCACCCTTGCCTTCAGCTCCTCACGTCTTGTCCATACAATCTGCATGTCCTCAGAGACCCCAGCAGTCCCAAGAAATGGGGAAACTGCTAGAAACTGGCTTTAAGGGAGACAGGGGAAGGACTGGAGGGGGTGATGTTGGCCAGATTTCATTATTTGGAGGGAATCTGAATTGTGCAAGTTCAATTTACTGGAAAGGGCGAGGCGCGCAATTTTCGGACTCGAGAAAGCTGGCTGGGTGTGTGTGTGTGTGTTGAGGGGGAGGAGGTGGGAGGGACTTGCTGAGAAAAGGGGAACACTGGAACACCAGTCCCCCAGGACCAAGAAATCCTTCCTTCCTCTTTGTAATCACACAGAGGCCAAACTTGACATTGGGATCTTGTCCAAGTTCAAGGGTAAATCCTAAACTCCAGAGCCTAAGGAGACCCAAGGGTGTGTGGCCTAGGCAACTCAACAAGAATCCATCTGGAGGGTTCAGCAGGTTAAGTTGCTGCTGGCCACACCCGCAGCTCTGTCCAGGGTGCCAGTTTGGGACCTTGTTGCTCCACTTCTAATCCAGCTGCCTGTTAATACGCCTGGGAAGCAGCAAGGCCTTGGGCCCTCCCAACCAGCTTCTGGCTCCTGTTTTGGGCTAGTCAAACTCCCACTCTCAATAGTTGGGGAGTGAACCAGTGGATGAATGTAAGACATTTGTCACTCTGTCTTTCAAATACAAATCCTGTGGCTAACAGGCTCAACAGGCTGACCTGCCTTGCAGTGCCAGCATCCCATTCTGGCAGCAGTTCTAGTCCTGGCTACTCCACTTCCCATCCAGCTCCCTGCTTATGGCCTGGGAAAGCAGTAGAAGACAGCTCAAAGCCTTGGAACCCTGAAACCACGTAGGAGACCCTGGCTTCAGATCCGTTCAGCTCTGGCCATTGTGCCCATTTGGCCCTTCCATCAGATGGAAGATCTCTGTCTCTCTTTCTTTGTAAATCTGGCTTTCCAATCAATACTTTTAAAAAAAACACCAAGCTTAAAATAAAATAAAATAAAATAAAATAAAACAAAATAAAATAAAAGGGAGTACATGTGGGTTAGGGCCCACAAGGTGTGTGTAGGGGGGAGGACGGCAAGAGGACTCACAGAAGAAATCTTACAGCTGTGGTTGCTGTTTACAGAGAAACAAGCAGCTTGTGTTCATCAGCATGGAACACACCAATGACAGCGGGGCATGTCCCAGCCTGCTTCCCAAGGACCAGGCTGCACTGGGGTTGTACACACTGATTCACAGCTCTGCCATCCTGTTTCCACCAAATGAACACAACATGGACAAGGGGTCTATTAAATGGATTCCTGCAAAGCAACCACAGGACTACAAATACTAATTATCCAGGAATAAGCAAAGAAAACAGCCCAGCTCGTATTTTTTTTTTAACCTACCCCCTGGGGTGGGAGGGGTGTTCATCATGAAAGCATGCTGGTTGGGAGAACCCTCTCTGCTGAAGCCGAAATTCCAACCCAACCCCCACTCATCCGTTACCGTTAGGGACCAAGCCTCCCAGGAAAAGGGCAAGAACTGAACCGACTGAAGGCTAGTGTTGGTGTTATTAGTGTTATACGTGACTTTCCAGCAAGTCACATGTGGGAGACAGTTGAGAAAAAAAAAAACCTTCAATTGTTAAGTTTGCTAAGACGGATGTATCTGTTATGGCTAGGTCAGCCCCGCCCATTTCCTGCAACAATAGAAACATTCTATTGAGGATGGCCTTGTGGTGTGGTGGGTTAAGCAGCCACCTGCAATGTGGAATCCTGCACGCTGACTGTTCTGCTTCCAATCCAGTTTTCTAAGGAGCCTCAGGAAAGAGTAGCAAATGGTCCAAGTGGTTGGGTCCTGGTATCCAAGTGGGAGACCCAGAGTGGAGTTTCAGGTTCCTAGAGTTAGCCTGGTCCAGCTCTGGGTATTGTGGCCATTTGTGGAATAAACTGACAGATGATTCTTTATTCCCTCCCTTTGCCTTTTCAGATAAACAAATCAAAAAAGGAAGTTACACTTCTACAGAATAGTCACTAGCCACAAGTGCCGTTGAAAACTTGATTTGCATACCCTAAAATTCCAATCAGCAGAAGTGACTTCAGGAGTCCCCTCCCACCAACACTTGCCCATACAAGGGGTCCTAAGGGGACTGCCTGCCCCACCTTAAGGAAAACTGAAGCCAACCTCAAAGTTCCCCCACCAAGTACCCAACATGAACCTTGGCTCGTTTCTCCAAGGACAACAATCACACAGCACAAGTTAAGACAAAAAGTATTTTATTCAAAAACGCCAAGTATAAAAAAAAAAAATAAGATCTCTGTTATTCCCCTGTACAGTACTTCACTCAGATAAAACCAGCAGGCTACATACTGCTCAAAACCCAGCCCCAGAGAGGATCCGGAAGGCACACCATCCACAACTGATTTCTAGAGCCTATCTTATATACACAAGTCAGCCGTGCCCCCCCACCCCGTCCCACGAGAAGCCAGGGAGCTGTAGCAGCTGTCCTGAGCCCCATCACCCCACAAAACAGAGCAAGCGTGTCCCAGCCCTCCCCAGCAGGTCCCAAGTCAGAGAGACGGAAAGGAAACAGGGGCAGCAGCTGTGGAAGCTTGCGGCAGGAAGGAACCAAATAAATAAATAAATAAATACATAACATTGACCTCCAGCTTGGAACACGCCATCTTCCCTCAAACAAACAAAAAAAAAAAAAAGGAAAAAAAATAACTTAAAAGGCAAAGTTAAAAAAAAAATTAGGTCCACTACAATCCTTTTGTATACTACCATGCCAACTGTACACAGATTTACAGCTTGTTCTGTAGATTTGCATTGTTTGTGCATTGTGTGTGTGTATGTGTATATGTGTGTGTGTGAGAGAGGTCTTGGCTTTGAAACAGTTTAAGTAGAAACCAAAAAAAGGAAGACCAGTTCGCTCAGTTTTACTAGAGGCAGAAAAAAAAAAGGGCAGGTGGCTCAGCGTTTGGCCCTGCAGCCTCTTCCATGGCACCTATCGTAGGCAGGAGGGGGAGGGGAAGAGGGGCAACCAGGGCACCAAACCCAGGCAGATTTTTTTTTTTTTTGGAGAAGCAGCAGGTAAGAGAGGCAAGTTCAAGTATTTCTCCCAGCACAGCCGGAGTCCCCACAGAAGGCACTCAGAGTCGGAAGAGGTGACAGCCCTATCCCAGCCCAACCTGGCTCCCCTCAAGAACTGATGAAGGGAGCAGCTCCACGCAGGGGTCCACCCCTTCACCCCAGGCGGGAAGGGGTTGGGAAGCCCAGCAGGGTGCTGGACACCTTCGAGAAGCAGAGTGTCTATGGGAGGAACGGGGTGGTGTGAGGGGGGCTAGGACACCTGGAGTGGAGTCTTTTTCCCGCCCCCCCACCCTGCCACATGTTCAGGAGGCAGCCTCCAGCAGCATGGGGTCTGGAATGAGTTTTCAATGTTGTTCCGGCATCAAGCATGCCCTGCGTGGTGGGAAGTGTCCCTGGTCGGCGGGATGCTGGAGACAGCTGCTCCCACTCTCCCTCCCCCTCGAGGGAGCAGAACAGGCCCATGGGAAAGGGTGCTATTTGCTGGGCCCGGGCGCCAGGCTGTGGAGGTGGATCTCGGCAGTCTCCTGGGGCAGGAGGGCATCCTGCATCCACGGATGGTTCTGGATTTCTTCGAAGGAGGGCCGATCGGATGGTCTCAGGGCCAAACACCATCGAATGAGATGCTGACACTCTGAAGAAAAGGCAAGGCGGGCCGAGGTCAGCACTGACTCACTTGTTTTGGCAAGACAGAAGGTCTTCCCCACGCGGCCTGCAAGGGGCCTCACAGGCCTGGGATCCCCACATGGGCCACAGCAGGGACTGGACCCCCTTCAATGAGGCCCGCTAGAGTCTGTTTTCAGTAAAAAGGTGCTGGTTCCACCTCCACCCATACCCCCTCCTCCCGCAGCCCCGTGGCTGTCACACCTCAATAGCTAGGGCCTTTCCCACACCACCCACACACCAGAAATAGGAAGGGTGATGAGCTGCACCGGTGACTTAATTCACATGGTGAAGTCACTGCACACCCACAGGAGTTGGTTCAAAGGCCTCAGACCCAGGCAAGAGGCTGGCCCAGCAGTGGGCACGCCTCAGCCCTCCTGCCCCTCAACCACCACCCCGGGGCCAGCTCCTAAGTCAACCGCCGGCCACCAAGCCTCCGAAGTAAGGTGAGAGAAGGTTCCAGAATTACCTGAGGAGACCCTCTGCCTGAAGAACACCTGGCCCCTGATGATCTCCTCGTCGTGCTCAAAGGGAATGTCCCCACACACCATGTCATAGAGCAGGATCCCCAGGGACCAGACAGCCGCCGACCTGCCGTGGTAGCGATGGTAACGGATCCACTCGGGAGGACTGTACACGCGGGTCCCTGGAAAGCAGCATCATGGGAGGATGTCAGCAAAGCAACTCCTGCACCCTCGCGGGCGCCGGGGAGGGGTGTGTGGGGGGGGCAGTGACAGGGAGGGCCTTCTCTCCAACCTTCCACTCCTCCCCGCAAGCTCACACCACTAAGTGGAATTCTTCACAAACAGCCCCGGCTGCGGCCCCACCGCGCAAAGCCAGTGTGTGCTGGGGCCAGCCACAGAGGCACCTGGACATGAATGTCAGCCCCGTGGAGGGCCGCATGCCACAAACCCGGCTTGCGAGCGGCACTGGGCTGAAGCTTCCCCTCCCCCAGGAGCCCGGCTGGGCAGGCTTGCACAACATTCCAGCCAGGGCGCCCTTTGGGGGGAGGCCTTCCTGCCCCCGCCCCTGACGGCAGGGGCACAGCACACACCCACACCCTCCCCTCTCCCGGGGCCCCCCGCAGGCCTAGAGCTGCAGGGCTGGTTCCAGACCACGTGATTCCTGTTTACAAACTTTGGGTAGTAAAAAAAAAAGACTCTATCCCGCGGGTGTTCACCAGGGGGCAGCAGAGACCAGAAGGGAAGGAGAAAAAAAACACACACACACACCCTGGGAGGACCCGGCCATTAACTGCTCAATACAAAAAATGCAGCCCAGCCCGGCGTCCTCCAAGGGCAAATAAACACAAACCACAAGCCGAGTCACAAGTTTTGAGAAGGCCGTGGCTCGTTTGGGGGGGCGGGGGAGCCGCCCGGGAGGCCGAGGCGCCCTCCCGCCTTTGATCTCCTCTGCCCGGCCTCCCTTTTCTCCCCGCGCCCGCGCCAAGCCCCTCCCTGAGGCCGCTTTTCATCCTCCGGGCCCGGGTCTGACCTCACAACACCGCATCCCCACACACCCCCCGACCAGCACCACCACACACTCCGGAGACGGGAGGAAAAAGAAAAGCCGGCTCCCCAAGATGAAAAGAGAGGAAGAGACGCACCCCCCCGCGCGCGCCCGGCGCGCTTCAAAAAACAACTCACTCCCCGCATCACACACACCCGGCAACCGGGCGAGGACCCCAACCCAACACCCGCACCCCAACGCGCGGGGCAGAAAAAAAAAAAAAAACTGGGTCACACTTGAGAAATCTGGGCTCCGGGCACCCACTGCATTCCACTCTCACACACAGAATAAGGCAACGCCACCGGAAACGCTTCCTCCAGGTCCCCGGCGCGCCCCACCCCAGGCCCCGGCCATCCCGGTGACCTCTGACAAAGGGGGACCCCGCCCCGGCGGCTCACCGTCGAAGTCGGTGTAGACCGTGTCCTTGAGCAGCGCCCCCGAGCCGAAGTCGATGAGCTTGAGCTCGCCGCGGTTGAGGTCGATGAGGATGTTCTCGTCCTTGATGTCGCGGTGCAGCACCCCGCAGTTGTGGCAGTGGCGCACGGCCTCCAGCACCTGCCAGAAGAAGCTGCGCGCCAGCTCCTCCTGCAGGGCCCCCCGCTCGGTGATGAAGTCGAAGAGGTCTTGCACCGGCTCGGGCCGCTCGAGGATCAGCACGAAGCTGTCAGGCCTCTCGAACCAGTCCAGGAGTCTGATGACGCCCGGGAAGCCCGAGCTCACCTTCTTCAGCAAGACCACTTCCATGGGCACGCGGGTGCCATTGGGCTGCCGGAGCGGGAAGGCGTGTGAGTCGGGGGGCGCCGCCCCTCTCCCGGCCCACCCGCCCCAGCCCCAGGGCCGCTCCCTTTCCCGGAGAGAGGGGGGCTGGACACTCACCAGCTCGCCCCAGTCGGAAATCCGGTCCTTCTCCACGTGTTTGATGGCGACCTGGAAGCCCACACACACAGACGCGAAAAAAAAGAGGGGGGGTCTCCGTGAGCTTGGCTGCTCTGCCACCTTTTCCCCCGATCCCGAGCCGGGGCCTCAGCACGCGGCGCGCCCTCCTCTCCAACACAGCCGACCCGGCCGGCGCGCCCTCCTCCTCCTCCCCTGCCCAGCCGACCCGGCCGGGGCACCCTCCTACTCCTCCTCCCCTGCCCAGCCGACCCGCCCGGCGCGCCCTCCTCTCCTACCCAGCCGACTCACCGGCAAGTTGTCGGCGACGCGGATGCCCGAGTAGACCGAGCCGAAGCCGCCGCTGCCCAGCAGCGGGCCCACCTGGTACTGCGACTCCAGGGGCTCCTTGTCTTTGCCTGGGAGAAGGCGGGCGACTCAGGACCGGCCGGTTCCCCCACCCCATCCCCGAGTCTCCCTCCCATCCTCCTCCCGCGCCCGGCCCGGAGTTCGGGGGCGACGCTCACCGGGCGCCAGCTTGGTGGCGTGCAGGTCACTGCAGGGCGCGGCGCGCAGGTGGGCCAGCGAGTTGATTTTGGACAGGAGCATCCCCACCTCCAGGGTGCCGGCGCAGGGAGCGCGGCCGCAGGCGCTGCCGCAGAGGCCGGGGCGGTGCTGCGGGCTGGCGCCGGGGCTGCGGCGGGCGATGCGGCGGGCGCTGCGGCAGGCGCCGGAGGCCGAGGGCGAGTCCGAGGACAACCGGCGGCGGGAGGGCGCGCCGCTCGCGGGGTCAGGCGGCGAGGAGGAGGAGGAGGCAGGCGGCGGGGCGAGCGCGTCGGGGGCTTCTTGGTGGGGCTCGGGTGGTGGTGGTGGTGGCGGCGCCGCGGAGCAAGGGGCTCGCGGCGGATGCTGCAGCCGGTGCCGGTGCCACCACCGCCGTCGCCGCCGCTGCCGCTGCCGCTGCTGACTCCTCTGCTGCTGCTGCTGCCGCCGCCGCCGGGCCCGCCGACTCCTCTGAGGCCACCGCCACCGCGGCCGCTGCAGCAGACGCCCCGCTCGCCCCGCCGCCAGGAGTAAAGGGGCGGAGCGCGCCCGCGGGGAGGGCGGCGGGGCCGGGGCGGGGCCGGGGCGGGGCCTCTCCGGGAGGCCGAGGCGGGGAGCCGGGCGCACGGGCGCCGGGGCTGGGACGGCCGCCGGCCGGGGCGCCGCCCCCGCAGCCGCCGGCCCCGCCCCCGCGGCGCGGCCGCAGCCAACCGGACGCCGCCTGATCTGCATAGCGCGGCGCGCCCCGCCCCCCCGGCCCGGCGGTCAGAATGGTGTGTGACGCGGCCGCGACGTGGCGGGAAGGAAAAGGCGCCAAAGTGGAGGGGGAGGGGCGCGGGGCGTGCGGGGAGGAAGGATGGGGAGGGGCGTCTCGATTCAAACCCAAACAATAACAAAGCCATCAAAAGGCCGCCCGAGGGCCGGGGCTCCGCGGCGCTCTCGGTTTCTCGGAGGTTTTTGGGTCAAGGGCTTCGAGCCGCCAGCCTTCACCGAGACGACGGGCGCTGCTGGTGTGTGTGAGGGCGAGGAGGCCGGGCCGAGGACGGCCGTGCGTGTGTGTGTGTGTGCGTGTGCGTGTGGAGGGGCGGCGGTGCCGACCAGGGTGGTCTTTTTTTCTGTGTGACTCACAGCCGAGACCTCCACGCCTGCTAGGGCGGAATGACGACGCGCTGTGGGCCGGGGCTGGGTTCCGGGCTTGTGGGGGAGCAGCCGGGCGTGAGTCACGGCGGCTCCTCAGCCCGGAACGAAACGGGGGGCCCCTGGTGCAAAGGCCCCCGGTCCTCCCTGGAGAGAGAGAGGTAGCCGTGGGTCGGGGAGAAGGGATGTGTGTCAGAGTGCCGGGGAATCACGAAACAAATGCGAGCATTGTGATGCCTGCTGCTGCCTCAGCCCGCGCGTGCGGGCGGGAGCGGGAGGAGGATTCCTCATTTACTACTCGGGTGGGAGGGTGCGCGCGGTGCAACCCGCGTTTTCGCGTCTTCGTCGTCACCTCCTCGCCAGCCCGGCCCGGCGAGCCCCGCCTCACCGCCCCCCGCCACGGAAATCACGCAAAACGGCCCAGTTCCACTTTGATCCTTTGTCCTTTTCAAACTTCTCCAAGAGTTGATAACGACGTGTGAAATGAGCAAATTAAAATTCGATGGAACCCATAAATTGAATTGTCAGGGGCCTAAGTCATTGGTAGTCGGCTACATCCAGTTTAATTTTCTCCAAGTTCCTCTCGCTTAAAAAGGAAAATGAGGGTCTGTATGACCATAGGCATTACTGAATTTAAAATATTTCTTCTTTAAAAGTTTACCTCGGTGCTCATTCTATAAAGATGCGCCACAATTTTTATTACTTTATTTCATAAAGCATAGATCCCTTTTGTTTGTGTACTGTGTGCTAACATTCACTTTTGTTGATTAGGGAAAAGAAAAACCCAGGGGAACAAGAATTATTCCCTTTTTTGCAGTTAGGAAAATGAAACCTAAGAAGGCAGACACGGTCACACAACAGCTCAGGGAGGAGGTGAAAGGGCTCAAACTCCACTCCCCAAGAGTCAAAGCTTCCTCCTTAAGAGACTTAACACTGAGCCAAATAAAGGTGCAAGGAATCTTAAAAAAAAAAATCAAGGAAAATGTTTATTATGAAAAAATGCATGGATTTCAAAAATTGTTCACACCAAAATAAACATTTTTCAGTTCCATTTTTTCCCCCCAAGAACCCTTTGAAGTTCTCCTGTGGGTGAACGCAGCCTTTTAAATCGAGCCCTCAGGTCCTTCCCCAGAGGACTGTTCCCAGTTCCACACCCGCAGGACCTTCCAGACTCTTTTTTACCTTTGCAGAGGCAGTCAACTTGTTCTGGCTGTGTGCTTCTTCAATTTTATTCAAAGCCTTTCTTTCTGCCCTTCAGGAAACAATTGTAATTGCATCACATTTTGCTGAACAAACTCCAAGTATTTGCTCAACGTCCATTCATCTGACAGTCATGTGGGGCTTCTTTTTTTTTTTTTTTTTTTCTTGAGAGGCAGAGAGACAGAGCTCCCATCCGCTGTTTCAGACCCTAAATGCCCAGAACTGGCAAGCAGGAATTCCACTGGCTGAAGCCAGAATCTGGAAATTAGCACAGCTCTCCCACCTGGGTGACAGGACCCAACGGCGCTACCTCCAGGGTCTGCAGGAGCAGAAAGCTGGCAGAAGAAGCCACAGGCGGGCATCTAGCTGGCACTCCCATACCAGAGGCAGGTGACATCCCAACACCCACCTCACTCATGTGGATGTTATTGCTCATTTTCTGTTCAATAACGTATACTTTGTCTTATTGCTTGAAATCGCACCTTATCCAACGTTTGTGGATGGAGATCATAAAGACTCCTACCCAAAAAACAGCCAACTTTCACCAAGTTGAAGTGGTTTGAATAGGCTTAGGTAAACTAAAGATTGGGACCAAAGGCTTTCAGCTGAATTAATCTAGTTTCAAATCCTGGATCTGGGACCTACTATTTCTGTGACATTGGTCAAGTGACTTAACCTTCTTCCCAAGCATTAGAGGGAATGGAGATAATAATAGCTACTACCTATTGATCTGTTGTAAGCAGCAAATACTAAAATTCTGCATGTGTAGTGTTTAACTTCTGCATGGCTAGTGTTTATTAACTTCTAATAAACATTAGCCATGATGATGATAATGATAACGATGGTGATAAATAAATGGGGGGGGGGGGACTACCACGGTCCTGCAACGATGGACTTGGTGCACAGAGCCGGTCCTCACACACATGGACCTTGACCGATGGTCGAAAGCCGAAGTTTATCCTTTATGCAAGGAGGGTCATATAGGATAAGGGAGGAGGTATTGAGCTTATCAACAAAACTCATCAGCTGTATCTATACATTTGTTTGGAACTCTTTTGTTTTGTATATTCTGCTAAGTGTTCTCATTCACATACTGTTCACTCAACTAGTCTCATACAAATGTTATCCATTTAGCTATACAAATGGTGTCCATTCAGTTGTTTTCATACAAGCATCACCCTATCAATTGTAATCTTGTGCTCCCTGACCTTCTAGGGTCACAATGTCCATTTATAGGGGACATTTTTTAAAGAGTTTCATACTTTGAAGTCCCCAACGGTAAAATGCTGTATAAATAGTTGGATTTTAAACACCTTCAGAATGGGATTTGAAGGAGTAGTAAACACAATATCAACTTTAACCTGATTCTTTCACTGTCATGAGATCTTTGCAAATATTTGTTTAGATAGGACAGATGTGGTTAGCTATCTGCTTATGCTGGGGGCTTCACTGCTGGAAGTTACAAAACACAAACCTTACTTGACAAAGAGCTCCTATTTATTTAAAATGCTTTTTTAAAAAAAGTATTTATTTTTATTTTAATAAAGAGAGGAGGAGAGAAAGAAAGGAACATCTTTCGTCCAATGGGTCACTCCTAAAGTAGCCGCAATGGGTGGAGCTGAGCCAATCTGAAGCCAGGAGCCAGGAGCTTGTTCTGGTTCTCCCATGTGAGTGCAGGAAATCAAAGCTTTGTGCTGTCCTTGACTGCTTTCCCAGGCCACAAGCAGGCAGCTGGATGGGAAGATGGGCTGCTGGGGTTAGAACTGGCTCTCATATGGGATCCCGGTGCATTCAAGGCAAGGACTGTAAATGTTACGCTACTGCACTGACCCGGTGCAAAAATTTTGAAATCTGTGTAGTTGTTTTTTTTTTTTAATGTATTATGCTTTTTCCATTAATGTTTTCAAGATTTATCATACTTCATATGTGTGAAATACATGTGAGAATCTAGGGGCCAATGTTGTAGCTAAGCCCTGCTTGCAGCTTCAGCTTCCCACATGGGTGCAAGTTCGAGTTGGGGCTACTCCTCTTCCAATTCAGTTCCTTGCTGCTACGACTGGGACAACACCTGATGATGGCCCGGGGACCTGGGCCCTTGTACTGTTATGGGAGACCCAGATGAACCGCCTAGGCTCCTGACTCCAGCCTATCCCAGCCCTTAGCTGCTGTGGCCATTTGGGAAGTAAACCAGCAGATGGAAGATTCTATCTCTTCTCCTCTGTCTGTAACTCTGCCTCAAATAAACAAAAAACCAAGTCTTTAAAAAGAAAGAAAATCTGCCACAAATGAACATTTGTGAAGCAGTCTACATTTAAGTTTCTCACTTGTGATAACTGTGGTAGTGGTGGATAGCTGGGGAACCCTGGGCCTCCGACTGCAGAACCCTCAGGGACTGCATGCACTTGAGTCAGAAGCGGCTTTATCCTTCCTGAATTGGCACATGGCTTTTAGGTTTCTAAATTTCAGCCACTTCTCAGTTTTCTCAGCAAGGTTAGCTTAAAAAGGTTTTTATTTTACAGTAAAGTATATTTAAATTCATTCCCAATTCATTTGTTTTTTCTTTTTTAAGGGAAATAAAAGTAACCTAGATTTATTTTTAGAATTTTACATATTCAGTACTGGCAATTTAAGTAAAAATAATCAATATTTATTGAAGGCACTATTCACAAAGGCACTATTCACTGTAAAGTTCTGAGTATTGCTGGGTGGGTAAAAATTAAAAGGGGCAGCTTAAGATGTAAAACAGTGTTGGGAAACCTGGAAAGTGCTATAAAATACCTTATTAGAAGACAAGAATAATGTATGTGTCAGATGAAAAACCAGGCAGAGAACAAAAACTCGGCATGTCCAACTGACAAAGAAAAGGGGCTGTGTGTGAAAGAGACACAGGGCTGAGAAGGAAGAGAGAGACATATATGTCTAGGAGTTGGTTTGGGAATTGCTGTTACGTTTAAGAAGTGAGAGGCCAGTGCTGTGCAGATTAAGCCACAAGCAGAACTCCAGTTCCAGTGTGGACTGCTCAGCTTGCTATGCGGCTCCCTGCTAATGTGCTTGGAAAGGACGCTCACCCAAACACCTGACACATGTGAGGGAGACACAGATGCAATTTCTTTTCCTTTTTTTAAAAAAGATTTATTCCCAAGTGAGAGCACAAT